TGTGGCAGTGACTTTTACACTTACATAACATTAGACTCTTCTTTGGCACCACTGATTACATTTGGCAACCCTGCAATTAGCTGGGCCCTACTATTACATTTGACAACCTTGCAAAGAGCTGGCGGGTTCAGAAAAGTATAGGGCAACGGGACCTAACCAAACCTGGACACAACAGGCGAGAGTCACAACGGCCGCTTACGCGAGTGTTCCTTCTATAGGCGTTAGCTTTATTATTCTATGTCTTGTTCCCCAGCTATGCAGATTTCTTCAGATCGCTCACTAAGTCTACCTCCTCTGTGAAGTCTAATCATGCTTTAGTTTTGACCATTAAGATACTCTTTGCTGCAGCATATGGAAAAGTGTACTTAGCAGTTCGGAAACATATTACAGTGTTTTTCTCGTGGCGTCCGAACTACATTTTTCTCATTTGACGGCTGACAAGAGCTCATGATGTATGAGCGACTGCACATGCATAATCGATCAGATCATCCAGGACGTCATCATGTTTTTCCAGAACTCTTGTTGTTTATAAGATTATGGGCTCCATTAATTGGGACATTATGACACGATGCACATTTTTTTTCTTTTTTTTTCTTCGAGGGCCGTTAAGAAAAACACCACTGTTTTTTATTTACCAACGTTACCACGTCTATACTAGCAAGGGATATTAGATCCTAAGTGGCTACTCCCCCTGGGAGCAGAGGGGAGCGGGAGGCGGGGGGGGGGTGGCAGAAACGGACGTTATGACAAGATGCACTTTTTTCCCCGAGGGCCCTGAAGAAGAAAAACACCACTGTTTTTTCATAAACTAACGGTGACACGTCTCTACCAGCAAGGAATATACAGGGTGTTGGAAAAGTCCGCTCCCCCTCTATTTTTTGACCTAATTGAGGAAGAGATCGGAAACTTGGAGGATGTTCCTACGTCAAAGGGAGCTAATTTTTTTAAAAAGTTTTTTAAGGGGGTCCCCTTCGAGGGGGGGGTAACGGACCCCAACCTTTTTTTTCAAAAGGAAGACCCCCTTTGTGGTACCTCGTTCGAAAGAGCATAAAATAAGACAAATTATCGCGCAAACCCGAAGTCAATATCTCAAACCGTTTCAAATTGGCGGACGGTTAAAGTTCAAGATGGCCGAAAATTGGCATCTCGGTTATTTGCCTATGGATTTGCGTTGAAAATCTAACGTCAAATTCGTTTTTCTGGTGTTAAAATACCACCCAGTACCGAGTTTCAGGCAAACCCATCGACAAACAAGCGGTGCCAATTTTCGGCCATCTTGAACTTTAACCGGCCGCCATTTTGAAACGGTTTGAGATATTGACTTTGGGTTTTCGCGAAAAATGTTCTTTTTTTACACTCAATCGAACGGAGTATTGCAAAGGGAGTCTTCCCATTTGAAAAACAAGTTGGGGTACATCCCCCCCCCAAGGGAGACCCCCCGAGAATTTTAGGGGGGGTCAAAAAGTAGCTCCCTTGACCTAGGAACATTCCCTAAGTTTCAAATCTCTACCTCAGTTAGGTCAAAAGTTAGAAGGGGGAGAGGGGACTTTTCTAACACTCTGTGTGTCCCTTGCTGATATAGACGTGTCAACGTTGGTTTTTAAAAAACAGTGGAGTTCTTTTTTCAGGGCCCTGGGAAAAAATAGTGGCATTTTCAAAAAGAAATTGAAAAGGCTCTAAAAAGTGAGCAGCGCTGAGATCACTCAGGGGAGTTTCTGATTTTGATCCGGATCTTCATTGGTGGTAGGTTAGAGTCTGTGAACTATATTTACTCTCTTTGGAAATTTACGGCATATCCGATTTTTTCACGAGAAACAAATTCCAAAAATAGGGAGAAATTGGCATTTTTATGTGAAGAAAAGGCAACTGTGCGGTGGGATATATGTTAGATTCAGCCCCCAATTTTTCTTCATGTATTTCCAAATGCACCAGGACCAACTTCAGAGATAAGTGATGTAAATTTTTGGGATTCATATTTTGTGGACCAATCTTAAGTGCATGAGTTGTGTGTTTCCTCCTTTACTAATCAGCAAAGCTTCAACAAATACAGAGACAGCCTTTGCAATATGGGCTCTGGCCTGTTTTACCATGAGTAGGGGGAGAGACACTGATGATATGTTAATTTGCGATTCCAGTGTCTCTCCTCCCTTAAAACTCAATACTTTTTTTCTTGTTGCCCCATCCCATTATCTTGTTACTGTCGTTTAACTGTAAGAAATTAACCCATGTAAATATTGTTCTCAATTTTTATTTTTTCAATAAAGGAACTCAAAATAATACGAGAAAATTCGAGACTCGATTTTTCAGCAAGTTCGAGAAGAGATTTTTCGAGGATGTACACTCTTCAATTCTTCATGAGTTCGAAAGCGATTGCAGTCTTTTACTGAGCAGAGGTGCACAGCACTGCACTCTCAACCAGTCGAGAATCGACAGAATCATAGAATAATAAAGCTAACAAATATAATATAATACTAATATATACTAGATAAATACATACATACATACATACTTACATACATACATGCATGCATACATACATACATATATATATATATATATAAATATGAAATGCAGTTATTTACGAGGTATCGGTCACTAATATTTTTTTTGTATAGATTTTTCCATACTAGCAAGAACCTCAGTATGGAAAAATCCATACAAAAAAAATATTAGTGACCGATACCTCGTAAAAAAACTGCATTTCATATAAATGACGGTCAGAACAAATCATTTGATATATATATATATTATATATATACTATTTTATATATATATACACTAATATATACTAATATAATATTAGAATAATAATGCTAAAGCATTATTATTCTATTACAGAATCGACACTGGTTGAACTCACTCAGCAACGTGGATGCGGAGAGAAGCCTAGGAGTGGGAGCCGCGTACGGCGCGGTACGGGGGGGGGGGAAGGCAGGCGGGTAGGGAGGGAGAGAGACTGCCAGCGGAGAGCGGTCGGTGGGCCTGCACGGCGCGCCGCGTGAGGGGACGAGGTTGCCACGGGGAGTGGTCGGTGGGTCTGCGCGGTGCGCCGTGCGGGTGGAGGAATTCCTGACACGAATTTCCTGCGAATTTCCGGCGATTTTTAGGCGCGCTTGGAGCTGCAATATAATGAAAAAAAAAAATACAGAGACAATATGCAGTAATAATTTATTTTCATGACTGTACACAAATTTAACACAAAAACTAGTATACATTTCACTACACTGTATTCAGCAGAACTAAAATGTACATTATACTGACAAATACCTCAAACATTTTAGTGGAATTGGTAGACCCAAAAGTATTTTATTTACATAGGTAGCCGATTAAAAAACTTGTTGACAATCTATGATTGATTAATTACTTTATGCCATGACAGCAACTTTGCACGGTTAATGTTATCAATAAATGAGACAAAACAATCACTCCAACCTTAAGTTTTCAATCAATAAACTTTTTTTCGCCAACTTATTGATGCCTTCATCAAAGTGAAAACAATTGGACTGTTGCTGTCTTCTTGATGGAGCGGAATTGGAAACTTTCAAAAATTAACAGCAGTATGAAAGTTAGTTTGACAGACTCTAGTTGCAGTGAGCGTCAGATAGGGAACATTCTTAATGCTCCGGTTGGCGAAGGAACGTCTCATGGAAGGTCACTTCCATGGTCCTAGGTTAATAAATTTTTTAAAAAATGTAAAAAAATAAGGCGGTAGGAACTAGAGAATTGTCAGAATATTAGCAGAAACTTGGGGCAAAATCAGCAATGTTTGCGGAAAAATAATGTTCTCCTTGATAATGCTGGCCATTTGGAGAGTTGAAGAGAATGCTCATAGCTATCGCCTACGTTTACTTGTAGGGGTTACGATTTGATCGATACTATTCATGGCTGTAGACGATTCCAATCCACTTCTTTTCCTTTTCATCCCTATAGGTGTTGCAACACTAGGAGTAGCAGGTGTTGCAGCACTTCTTTTTATTCTTTCTGCACGAACCTGTTTTTCAGGTGTCTCTGCATCCGACTGTGCGTAAGGCATTCCTTCACCCATGGTTTGCACTAGCAACTGAATACTACCCAATGTCTCTTGCATCATTTCAAAAGTCATTTTGTATACTTCTGAACCGTGCCAATTGAAAAACAAGGCATTGGTGAACATTAACATAATGGCTCTTTGGAATTCTAAAGTCGTCCTTATTGTTCCATTCTCTATGTTCTTTTTGATTGTCAATAGATCAATCGGATGTTTGACAATGTTGTGATAACCGGGAGCTTGATCTTCGGTGATGGGTTTTAAAAATAATGATGCATACTTGTGTGCAGCAATTCCATTATAGCTGAGCATGATTGACTTTTTCCAGGCTCTGATCCCTTTTTCTTCGTGGGCAGTAACATGGGAGGAGCTTGATGTTGCCGAGGTAATGGAGTCACGTTTTTCTCGAGCACTACTTTTTTTATTGACGCAGGATGCTATAGAGATCAAGGTTGAAGTCGACTCACTGTCATCACCCCCTGTCGAATGCGTATCAGAGCTTGTGTCAACAAAATCTGTAACGATCGGTATACTGCTCACAGCAATAGTTGATAGTTTCTTCCTTCCTCCAGAATTTTTTTTATCACTGCCTGCCACAGTCTTTTTAACATTTGAAAGAAGCTCATCACTATCTTCTTCATCGTCCCCATCTCCATCATGAGTCACTTCGTCTTCATCGAATATTATCTTTTTCACAGATTCCTTCTCATCGATTGCTGAATCAATCCCTTTCCTTTCAGATAATTTGCTGTGCATTCTTTTACTTTGTACTACACCTTTAATCACACTTCCTGACTTTTCACTCCACGATTTACCCAGCCTAACTCCTACTTCTGACTTAGAAAGTTTTTTACTGACAGTTTGAGGACATGCGTCAGAGCTTGTACTTTTACTACCAACAGTCTCTTCCATTGCAACGTATTTGAGAGATTTTTGAAAAATTACAGAATCAGGTTTGTCTTTGCCATTTTTTGGTGCTGACTCACCGTCATCCTCTTCCTTGATTGCAATCTTTGACTCAAATGTTTGTTCATCGGACTTGATTCCACTCTTGAGCGAATCATCTTTTGCAATGATGACCTCTGTGTCATTGTCAATCATAATATCATTTGATAAACTTGCTGAGCTCAAATCTATTTGGGTATCTAAAATTAGTACATTTTGACTCAAAACTCCACCTGATTCATCTTCTTTACAGGTGGCAAAATTGCTTTTGGCTCCTTTTAACGGCGTGTTAGAGTCTTTGCCACCCGGAGGTGAGATGGCAGCTCTTTGAATATTCATGCATGGCACAGCTAATGTCACTTTGGGACTTGCGTTTGGGATTGATTTTGGTTGCTCAAGGTGAGATGACACTTTTTCATTATCTCCTATAGGACCTTTCGGAGAGGGCTCATTGAGACTAAGTTCACTTTTTATTGGAGATATTCCAACAACGCTAATTTCTGCCTGACTTGTGGGCAGGTCAAGGGTTGCTTCTACATCTATGACAGTTGGCATAGTATGGAAAGTTTGACCTTCGGTAAACTGCGATGCATTTGACAAATTTCTTGACCCATAGCTGCTTCCATCAATTTCAACAGGTATATCTGGTTCAATTTTGATATCTTGAGTTTTTTCAACATTAAATTGGGTATGATTGCATTCTTTGGAATTATCCATTACTGGTTTCCTCATATCACATTCTAAGATAACAATGTTAGAATCACTAGCTTTGCTGTCTGAGGACAGCTTTACTGAGGATTCGCCATCAGGAACTTCTACCTTGACAACTGCTGGCAATCCATCACAGGAGGTAATTGCTGAGTTATTTAAGTTTGAGATATTTATTCCACCCTGGAAGAAAGGAAAAAAAAAACATTAAAAGAAAGAAAACTTCTTGTTCTTCTCATTTCATTTAAGTATATATAAGTTCATACATATACATGGATGCAAATACTTCAGAAATGTGCTATTTTTTAGAGCGAGCTGGCATCATGTGATACTTAAAAATTAATTTTACCATTTCTTTACATCATTTTTTGTATTATCTATTTGTGTCGGTGCAAAATGTCTTGAAAATAGGAGGTGAATTAGTGAACCCTGAATCAAAATGAAAAAAATCCCAAAAACACCTGAAAAATGGCCAAATTTTCCTAGAAAATCATGATTTCCGTCCGAACGGGCAACACCGGGCAGATGAATCATTGATTTTCTATGGTTCTAGGGACCCAAGATTCGGCTACCATCGGAAGAAGCACGACTTGGCCTTCTCTGCAATTGATAAAGAGGCCAAGCTTTAAGTTCCATACCTTATTCTCTCCTCTTTCCTTCTTCCTTCTCTCTCTCTTATTCATTGCTTATGGCATCGAACTGACTCCTCGACCGACCGGCCCACTAGAAAAAGTTCCAGCAGTCCCACACGGCTAGTCCAGGCCTACCCATACCTTGCTCTTGGAGCCCTAAAGTTCGCAGCAAAAACTAAATTGTAGCTAAAACTAATCGGAGAGAAATCAACAAATATCGACAATAGAATAGTTGTAAAGAAGGTCTGGACAAATTTTATTCTGATGGGTTAGAGAAACAAAGGACTGAATAAAGAGCTGGTTCATTCGGTTCTGCGCAAAACCGGGACATTTTAAATTTGCATAGAGGTTGCGCTTCTTGAACTGCATATTGTTCGGTTTCTGCGTTAGTTTTCCACGCTTTTTTGTGTGCGCATCATTTTGTATGCATAATTCACCCTCAGAAAAATGTATGCACAAGTCGAAATTCGTTTATAATTTAGGGACCGATTATTGAAAATTGAATAGTCGAGATGAGTATATATTTTTGAACTTTATTTGTTTGGAGAAAATTTATTGTTCTGTTACTATAATAACTGTAACAATATACTAGCGATTCCAGGCGCACTTCGCGCGTCCTCCACGGCTAGCCAGGGAGCTTTGCCCTGTGGACCCCCATCACTCGCTTCGTCAGCCACATTCCTGTCACTACCACCTTGATTACATTCGAGAAAGTTGTAGAAACAAATGCCACTCGTCTTGCAACGCTCCTCCAAAAGTCTAAGAATATTCTGGAAAGCTCCTTTATGGACATGGCTCGGGCCTCAATTTAATTGCACACCGCCTGGAGAAAATTTTAAAAAGTTCGAACAAATTCGAGAGAAGCTAGTATCCGTCATGACACCTTACGAAAGCCCGAGAGAATTCTGTAAAGTTTTGGAGAGGATTCATGAGGGTCATCGTTTTACTGACGGTCACCTGAATGATGAAAATTCGAGAGAGTTCTAGAAAGTTCCAGAAACAGTTACTACACGTCGCCATGAGAATCCCTCCTTAAACCTAGGAAAATTCTGACAAGTTTTGGAAGGACGAAAGGGGAGCCTCCCCGGTACCGGCTGCAGTGCTTGGAGAAATGAAACTGGAGAGAGGGATGGAAAGGAATCACTGGCTGCGGCTGCGTAGTGTTCTAGAAGCCGATTAGCGCGGCGCGATACGGGGTGCGGGTGGTGGGGCGGGGACTCAGCACAGCAGCCGGCGGCGGAGGACGGGCGTCGCACAGAGCGTTGATTACTAGGGGACGAGTGTCAAAAATCGATATCTCCGTTAAAAATTGTTGAAATTTCATAAACATTTGGTGAGTTACTCTTCTTCATACGTACTATCTTGCGACAAACAGAAATTTTTGAGGAGAACATTTTGAGGGGGGTTTTGGGCCCCGTTTTGGGAGGAAATCGGATAAAATCCTTGCAGCTTGATATCTCCCCGAAAAAAATAGGATATCAAGCTCAAGTTCGCACCAAAAAAAATTAAAAAGTGCTTATTTTCAAAACACATCAATTTACCGAGAGAGAAAATAGTTCAACGTTGCTGTGTTGCCATTTATCGTTATTTTTTATTACGGGTTCTTAAACCTTAAAGAATGTGAAATAAATTTTTTTTTTTTATCAAAATGAAAGCTAATTTAATTATTCTAATTTTATTCCTCATTACTTCTACGTTTTACTACATCAATGGATGAAGTTGGAAAATACAACTCTGTTTTGAAATGTTTCAAAATTTCCGACTTTGTATTATTTTCTGAAATGAAAAATGATTAAAATGCCAATAGTAATTTCGATGGATATGTTTGAATAAATGATGGCATTTTATAGAGAATTCGAGACAAAATGTTGGTTGGTGAACTTTTAAAAACAATGAAATGTATACAGTTATAATGGTACATGCACGTAAGGAATAATGAGGAGCATTCTGATCAACAGGCTTCAGTGCCATACTATCCTTCCTGGCAGCTTCATTCCTTCTGGTAAGCACTATTTATTTTTGGTTTTTCCAATTTTTAACTTTTTTTTTGTGGCGAATATTGAATTTTGAAATACTGTTCATTTTTAACCCTCTTTCCCAATTTCATGGAGTGGCAAAAAACACTGCTGACAAATACCGAACTTTCGTGCACGTGGATATATTCAGTGATACGTGTACTTTCAGAAAATCAAGAGTTCATTTGCCCGGTGTTGCCCGTTCAGACGGAAATCATGATCTTCTACGAACATTTGGCCATTTTTCAGGTATTTTTGGGTTTTTATTCGACTTTGATTCACAGTTCACAAATTAATCTTAAATTTTCAAGACATTTTGCACAGACACACACTGGATATGTCCACATTGAAATTTTTCTAATGGTTGTCAATAGTTTTTTTTGCCACTTCATGAAACTTCAAAAGAATGTAAAAACGAGCCTTGCAAAAATGGAAGTTTTCATGAAATTTGGCAACACAGAGATACTTCGTTTTCAAATTTCCCCAATTTCACATGCCATTTAATGTATTCATATCAATATCTTTTGGAAAATAGGTTATTATAATCGGTATATAAGTATATATACACACAGTCTTATATACAGTCTTTTACAGTTATAGTCTTATACAGTCAGTTTATATACAGTCTTGCCTTGCTGTTAAGCGGCGGCTCATTTATGTGTAAATTTTAACTTTTGTTTCTTGTTTTTTGGCGGTTGAAAAAGGGAATGTTAACCCCAAGACGTTCCGTCCAAATTTGTTTTATTTACAGCCTGTACCCTTAGGGTGCGTCAAAAAAAATGAAAGTCTGAAATGTTCCGCTCCCCAGGCGGCAATCGATGACGTTTGGTAAAAAAACATGTTTGCCAAAATTTGGGCCGATATCAACCATTTTAAATGGTGCCAAAGGTCAATTTTGTAATGACATTATGATATTTTGGTTTAGACCTCGATTTCGCACAAAAAACTCGATTTTACGCTGAAATCGTGCGTTTACGAGAAAAATGCCAAAGAACTCGACTTGTAGAGGATGAAATTTTACACTAGGAAGACGTCTTGTAACCGATAAAAATCAAATTGAACTAGAAAAACTCAACTCGGTATTTATTTTTTTGGTCCTCAGAATTTCCGAGGTCTTAGAAAGTAGAGGTGTAAAAGACTCATTTTTCACGAAAATAAGTCGAAAGAGGGTGTAAATGAACTGTAGGTAAGTGTTGAGGATGCAAATGTCATCATAACTTCCTCAGTTTCAAAAAAAGTTCCAACAATTTTGCACAATCCTCCAAAAAGTGCACGGCTCGAGAAGCAGGATCGTGCTATAATAGTAAGGGGAAAGAGCGGTTTGACCGGGAAAAATTGCGTAACAAACTTTCCCAATGTAATCGTCATCAGTAGGTCCCCCTGAACAACTTCCTAAAAGTTAAAAATGGCCCGACCCCGGAATACCCCTCAAAAAAGTTAAAATTGAAAATGGCGGCCGTAATAAGAGGGTCCGGGAAATCGGTATTTTAAAATGCTCATTCTGTCTCATCATGTGAGGTATCATTTCCTATGTAATATTGGTCGCAGATTTCATAAATGAATTCCGCAAGGCCCCTTCTAAGCTTACGTTTCTCTCGGTAGTCGTATGTTTCCTTTATTTTTCTTTATTAAATACATTTATAACATCAAATTTAAGTTTCTTGGCCATAAATACATGAAAATAAAGACAATTCACTTTCCTTGTTCCTTCGGTGAATATTTAAAAAAAAATGCAACCTCCTGCCTTTCACATTTGGCCGCCACCTTTGATTTAGAGCGCCCCCTTCGGCCGGAGGGCCTTGTGGAATTCATTTATGAAATCTGCGACTAAAATTACATAGGAAATGATACCTCACATGATGAGACAGAATGAGCATTTTAAAATACCGATTTCCCGGACCCTCTTATTACGGCCGCCATTTTCAATTTTAACTTTTTTGAGGGGTATTCCGGGGTCGGGCCATTTTTAACTTTTAGGAAGTTGTTCAGGGGGACCTACTGATGACGATTACATTGGGAAAGTTTGTTACGCAATTTTTCCCGGTCAAACCGCTCTTTCCCCTTACTATCATAGCACGATCCTGCTTCTCGAGCCGTGCACTTTTTGGAGGATTGTGCAAAATAGTTGGAACTTTTTTTGAAACTGAGGAAGTTCTGATGACATTTGCATCCTCAACACTTACCTACAGTTCATTTACACCCTCTTTCGACTTATTTTCGTGAAAAATGAGTCTTTTACACCTCTACTTTCTAAGACCTCGGAAATTCTGAGGACCAAAAAAATAAATACCGAGTTGAGTTTTTCTAGTTCAATTTGATTTTTATCGGTTACAAGACGTCTTCTAGTGTAAAATTTCATCCTCTACAAGTCGAGTTCTTTGGCATTTTTCTCGTAAACGCACGATTTCAGCGTAAAATCGAGTTTTTTGTGCGAAATCAAGGTCTAAACCAAAATATCATAATTTCATCACAAAATTGACCTTTGGCACCATTTAAAATGGTCGAAATTGGCCCAAATTCTGGCAAACAAGTTTTT